TAACATGACATAGTACTTTGACCCCTTCCATCAGGGATGTCTGATGTCCTCACACTTCAGTATGGATGCATATTATTTTAGCAAAATTTCATTAGACACTTGCCACCATCAACCATTCATCTGATATTTACCAGCGGTCCTTTACTTCATATCATCCATCATCGACTTCTCACTCAACTCTCTCCTTTAGCTATCCACTCGACCGTTGACTTTCAATGAACTTCCACTCGATCGTCCATCACCGAAGGCCTTCCACTCAAACAACATCTAAATTCTCTTTATCTACTAATCACTTATGGTTCTCCTCCCATATACTATTACCATCAGATCTTCTCAAATCACCCTCACATGCAAGAAGTATTTGATCTTCTTTTATCAAAAATAATTTAGAGGGAGAGTAAGATCTCATAGTAATTTCTTATATACAAGAGAGGGATACTGAAACTTAATAGGGGAATGTCGCCTATCTCTAACAGTGGAATGCTTCCAATGTAAGAAGAAGAACGCAAGAGAGAAGAACAACAAGGAAAAAATCTCCTTCTACATAAGAGAGAGGCACTGAAGCTTGATAAAGGAATGTCGCTTATATCTGATAGTGGAATATCTCCAATGTAAGAAGAAGATTAGAGGAGACGAAAATGAAATGCAGTAAAAAATCTAACTTTTACACATAAAGAGGGGCCCTGAATTTGAGTAGGGGATGCCACCTAACAAAAATAAGGGAATGCTTCAAGTGTAAGAAAGTTAGAATGAGGGAATAGAAAGAAAATGAATAGCTACAAAAATTTCAACTTCTACACATAGAGAGGAGCCCTGAATTTGAGTAGGGAATGCTTTTATCAAAAATTTGGGAATGCCTCAACTGTAAGAAAGTTATAATGAGAGAGGTGAAAGAAAAAGAACAACTACAAAAATTCCAACTTTTATACATGGAGAGGGGCCCTAAATTTGAGAAGGGGATGCCACTTATAAAAAAGAGGGGAATGCCTCAACTGTAAGAAAGTTTGAATGAAAGAGAAGAAAGAAAATGAACGACTGCAAAAAGTCCAACTTCTACACAAGAAAGGGGCACTGAAGCTTGATAGGGGAATGTCACCTATCTTCGATAGTGGAATGCTTCAAATGTAAAAAAGAAAACTATAGGAGAAGAAAAATGAGAGAAAGAAAAAATTCTAACTTATACACAATGAGAGGGGCCCTAAACTTTAGTAGGGGATGCCTCTTTAAAAAACAGGGGAATACCTCAACTTTAAGAGAGTTAGATGACGAAGGGAGAAGAAGAGATGAGCATTTTGCTTCATGCCTAAGGGGTATTTATAGGACAAAAAGAATGGGAAATGATTTAAAATTTGGGGAGAAATTTACCTCCAAATTGTTTAATTTTTTTCAAAAATAATTCTAAAATTTTCTAGAAATTTATTGGGCCCACTTTTGCCATTTTAGAATTTTCAAAAAAAAAAGTGGCAGGCCCATAAAAAAAAAAAATTAGGTAGTGATTATGTTAACCTCCCCGTTGGGTGGCTAGAGCAGCTCACCTCACATAGGGGAGAAAAAAAAAAAGACCCCACATTCTAAAAAAAAATTTAAGTGGAGGGGGCACCTGTATGCGCCCCTTGACTAAGCGTTGTGCGTGCTCGTTGGCGCCACCGATGTAGGGTGGCGGCCGGCCGATTTGGCCACCTACATGTGTCCAGACTCCGACTTCAGGCCCGAACAGTACAAATCAAATATTTCTAGGCACGTCCTTTGATATTCTAGACTAAATTTTGATATTTTTGGAGTTTAATGTGGCTTCTACGATCGAGTTTGAGCAAATTTATATTTTTCGCAACGTAATTTTTTACAATTTGATCAATTTGAAGTATTGTGACATATATTTTCAGACTCTATAGGCTTCGACATCCAAAAAATAGGGGGACAACTGATATATCATCAAAAAATTATCTAGATCGGGCATGAATATCAAGGCAAAAATCAAGTTTGAAGCTTAAAAAATTAAATCAGAAGCCAGCTGAACTCCAATTTCAATAAAATTATAGTCGAATTGAGCGTCTCCAAAATACAAACCCAATGACACCAAATTTGACTCAATCCGAGCTCAAATGGGTCCAAATCAAGGACCCAAAGCACTATTTGAAGGTTCAAATCGCAATTTGGATTATTAAATGGTTTTCAAACGTGACATGCTCATTATCAAATTGTGCGGTTCAATGAGACGAATCCAACTAGCCCAAGATCACGAAATTCCAACAACATTAAGACATTTAAATCTTATATAAAATGTCCATTATCAAGGGATTCATCATCGGCCGTCCATTCAAACCACTCTCAATTCACCATTGATCTTTCCCTTATTTACTGGCCATGTCACTCTTAGAAAACTATAAATAGGCCCCACATTTCTTATAGGAAGAGGGGACCCAAAGGAGGGGAAGAAAGAGGCTCAAGGAAGAAAAGAAGTGAATAAAGCAAGGAAGAGACTTCTCCTCAACCACCGTCAAACTTTCACCCGGCAGCCGACCGATACCGGACTTCTGCCTGATCACCAACTTACGTCGGAATTAAGCAAGAAGAGAAGGAAGAAACGGAAGAGAAGAAAGAGAACGCTCTTGTCACTAGACTCTTCCTCGACCACCGCCAGACTTCCACCTGGCAGCCTTCCGACTTCGGAATTTTGCCCGAATGCCATCTGATGCCGAAGTTCTGTCCGGCCACTATTGAACCTCAGCTCATCACCGTATTCCTACCCGACGTTGGACTTCTACCCAACACCAGACCTCTGCTCGTCACCAGATTCTTACCCAACGCCGGACTTCTACCCAACACCAAACCTCCACTCATCGTTGGATTTCTAGCATATGCCAAAATTCTACCAGACGCTAGACTTCTGCCCGTTAATTGACATTTATAAGACTTCTATTCGACACTAAACTTCTGTCCATCACTGGACTTCTACTCGACGCTGACCTCGATCTTTCCAACCTCTATAGTCAGACAAAGGTCTTTATAACCTTCGTCACCGGCCTACTACGGTCCTTCTAACTTACATCGCCCTCCGACTACAATCCTTCCAACCAGGCAAACACGTTAACATAGATTCTTCCTATTTTTTCCATGTAATATACTCTATATGATGTACATTAAGCCATGGCCTTCCCCTTAAGGAAAGGCCTCATTTGTAATCAACTACAAATACTAGTGGATTCATTCAAACTGGGCTAGATCCCATGGTTTTTCCCCTTTACATGATTTTTCACTTAAAAATCTTGGTGTCTCTTATGAATATTGCACCCTCTCTTTTTATCTGATTGCGTGTTGGATCTTCGTACAAAGCTAAGACGATAAACTTTATATTTCTCTACTGCCGCGAATACTCCAGGATGCAAAAATTATTATTATTACAAATGCACACACACACACACACATATATTGTGTATAGAACATGAATGAAGGAATAGAGGATCGGATTGGCTTGTTCTGTCAAGCAGCAGAATAAAATCAAGCGGGCTGGGATCTTGGGTTGGATATTTGGCCGACTAGGAGTCGAGCAAAAGGAATGGGATCACATTGTGAGAGCAGACACATGCGCAGTGGGCACACTCGTGTGAGACTAGAGCAGGTTGGGTCCGATCGAGGGAAGAGCAAGCCAGGCGTGTGGGTATTGGTTGGATTGGGTCCGATATGCAGTAGAGAGGGAGGCGACATGGGCTTGCAGTTGTTACATGCGACACAGTGCATACAGGAGATAGGCTTGTGCAGTTGAGGGAGGTGGAATAGCTCTTTCGTCCATGAGAATTTGAATGATGGTACGATTCCTTCGTGTGATGTAGAGGAAAGAGATAGCGGTTGTATCGTTTGAGCCCAATAATTACGCCGTTTAGGAAGATTGTGTGTGAGGTGGGGTCAAGTCAGTGATTAGAGGCCATAAGCCTTTTATCAAGCTGAGCACAAAAAAAACTCATGAATTTGCTCGACTCAATTATATCTACAACTATAATATACTTTCAAACTTTATTATTTATATAAAAGAAAAGGTATAGAATTTCCCCTCGATTTGGTTTCGTGAGCTAAAAATGGCCTAGTTGATAGGGCAAAGTATCAAGTCACTGATAACTATTATCTACTCAGGATAACCTCTTTAGTTATAGTATGCCAAACATTAACGACAACCTACTAAGGTATGAATTCTAGTTAACTAAATTATATATGTTTACATTGTATCAATTGAACTTTATGATGACCTATCAATTTACCAACAACTCATTAAGGTAAGCGAGGTTTTATTCAGGCTACTAATGGTCTATTTCCCAATTAATTATAAATTATTTGTTTAGATGTAATTTCATATAATTTGTTGACCGTAAGCCTCTACTATGTTGATTGACATTTGATCGGGATTCATTTTAGATTGATTATTATTAAATCAAACAGATTATTAATTTTCTAAATTAGGTTGTAGGGAAAAGATTCATGGCATCTTCTAAGACTTTCCCCACCCTAATGTTCATCGATAGGATAAAAATGGTCTCTCTTGATATTAAAATCGAAGATAGATCAGGCGCTATGAAGATACGTTTTAGAGGTCAATAAATGAATAACCTTGATCAAAGACTTGGACGATCCAGTATATCCCCTACATTAACCCAAATCTCACTATGACTAACCTAACCTAGACTAATCTAACCTAGCTAGTTAAGAGACTAGTTAATCTAATTATAATTAATTAATTATCCCTATTAAACATGTTATCTTATTTAAATAGTTTTAATTAATTTTAGAACTGATTGATTGAATCCCAAGTTGTCCTCTCTCTCTCCTCCAAGAACTTTTATTTTATCCAGTGAACGTACGCAGAGGAAGGTTCGATTTTAGGCAAAAAAGTGCCTGCGCGAAAAACTCGGTACAGATACTTTTTTGCCTAAAATCGAACCTTCCTCTGCGTACTCGATATAATAAAATTTCCTCCAAATATATTAATCGGTGGAATGAACTATCCTAAACTGATCACGAACAACTCGCCGCGTGGCAGGCATTTGGTCCTACTCTCTGGACCGAAGTGGAGGAGCTAAGGAGACAGCAGGAAAGCAAGCGTATATGATCCTAGCGAGGCGCCCGCGAAGTTACCGCCTCCGGCACAAATTCCCGATCCCGATATCTCAAATCTGTGCCCTAATGCATCTTTAGCCGCCGTCTCCATTGTTCGTGTTCTACGAATACTGTGAAGAAAGTCGATGGGGACTCTGCCGAGCTCTAACTTCATCAATTTGAGCTTCGGGTTCCGCCTTCTGCAGGGTGGTGGACGATTTAGGGGGGAGAGGAGGTGGGTTGTGAAGGAGAAGAAGTGGAGGAAGCTTTGCGTGCAGTGCGAGAAGAGGTCGCTGGAAATGTGGAGGGTTAGGAGGAGGCGGTGGTTTGATAAAGTTCGGTGCTTTTCGCTAAGCGATGGTGAAGGAGAGGAAGATAGGAGGTCGGGGCCCTCGAGTAGCTCTGGTGAAGAAGTGGAGCACAGGGGTGGTGGTAGTGATGATGATGTACGGTCCGAGAGGACACGTGCATCTGTTTCTCCGAGGGTTGGCTCTGTTCCTTATTTTCTTTTTCGCCCAGTGTTCGTTTTCTCACCAGGCATTTTCGTAATCTTTTTGTCTGTGTTTGAGTATTGGGAATTTAAGTGAAAAGGTGATGAAAAAAGTTGAAAAATTCAAATCAGCGGCTGTAAATTTATAATGAATTAACAAATGGTTTGAATTTCATTTCAGTTATTTTACTTTCCTTCAATCCGAACAAGTCCTTGTGGTTTTTGTGAATTGAATTTCCTTTTTAGAAACTCTCTTTTTTACTAAGTTTGATAGTGGCCTTGAAAAGGAAGCTGAATTTTCGTTTGCAATCAAAGCTGTCTTCTTTTTTCTTCATTTGCCTTTAAGAATCTGGTTCAGTCCTCTCTTTTTTTAGTGGGTCAAAATCTTGAATTACGCATTTGAGATAACTCTGCACGTATCAATAATCTTGTTCGTTATTAATAAAATTACCATCTGGTACGGTTCTGTAAAATGCATTGGCCATGTTAGTCAGGCTTTGGTGTTTTACACACTTTATGCTTTTTGTAACACCGGATGTAGGAATTAATAAACACCAAGGAACCTTAAAGAAAAATTGCAATAGATGATCCAGTTTGAGGAGCTTAGCGTGGTGTCCAGTAGTTTTAGATGAATTGGATCAATTGAATGTACTTGAGCTAAGGCGTCATATATTTGTGATTGGGGGTTTCTTCCAATCACAGCACCCAAGGTTAATTGAATGTCAATCCAAAGAATCACCACATGAATAATTCACCAGATAGCAATTCAAGATGTCTTTATTTGGGTCCTATTGAGCAGTTTAGTGCGGGACTGTGGAGATTTTTTTTTGAAAGACCAATGGGCCACCAACTCTCCCGCTATTTCAAAACAAAAGGTGCCATCAAGCTTTTTAGTGCAAGATAGGAATTTGTTCAATGCGAGTGGTCAGCCTTGTGATGATTGTTATGCGATTTAGCCATACAAACAAAGCGGATTAATTGAATTGCTATTTTGAAAAGGTTATAATGTATCCAATATGATGAAAAAAGGATGAATCACACACTGTTCGCCTCCAAAACCAAGTTTTCTTCCCTCCTCTGGTGCCATACAATTTGTTCCCCTGTTCCTTGCATATGCACTTCTCAAAGCCTCTTTAGATCCTTTATGTTTTAGAAGAGAGGTAAATGTGCACAATTTAATTGTTAAGTGGGATTTGGTTTGGATGGTCTTTTGGCTTTTCCGTTTTTATTCTATAGCTATAGATATGATAAAAAAAATTTTACCTTCATATCATGATTGCACGATCCTTTAAATTGAAATTGCAAGAAAGAAATTCAAAGTTACATTTCAAATTTAAAATTCAGAGCTACCTAACAATTATGAACTAAATTGTGAAAATAAAGAACTACTAAAAGCAATAAAAGTATTCAAATGCCTTGGAAATCTCCTCCATGCAAATAGCCATGTATTGGAAGATAAGATTTATTGAACAATTCAAGCTTTACTCCATAATTCAGCTCTATTTTTTTAGAAGCTTGTGCTATTTTGATTCATACTTTTGTGGGCAGCTCCTCCTTCATGGTCTTGCATGCTATAATTTATGAACAAAATGAATAATATTCATTTTATCCTCCGGAAGCTTTTGCACGTCTTCTTGAAACTTGTGGAAGCTTCTAGAATGTTTTGAAAGGTTTCAAAAGATTGTAGAAATTTTAGTTACATTCTCTTGAATCAATGAATTATTGGAATGTGAAGGTTACTTATTTTTTTGTAGCTTAAATTTACAATTAGCTATACGACCGGCTACATCAATAAGCTTAATTATACATTTCTTATAGAGCTTGTTAAGCTATGCCTTATGTTATATGATTATAAAAGTAAATGAATTATAAAGGACAAAATATGATACAAGAATGTATATTCCCTATTATTAGAACTTTGATACACAAAGTATTAAGCCATTTTATCATTAAGTGTTGAAAGACAAAGTTGAATATTTCTCTCATATTTATGATGGTTGTATGGAGATGCATTAGGAGCACAAAATGATGAGTTTCTTGATGTGAATATTTCTGTAAGATATGAATGAATGTTGTCATGTTGGCTACAATTAAGATTTGAATCTATATTTTTATTTATGTTTGTCTGTAGATGCTACTGATCTTTACAACTTGGCTATTTGCTCACTGAATTTATGCCTGCTTTGGTATTATGAAGAACTGAGACAAAAAAAAAAAATCAAACCAGACAACTTACCGTCTAAGTCAAAACTCTACATTAATAGACATATTGAAAAATCCTAATAATACTTTTGTTTTAATTGAATAAGAAGAGATTAAGAAAGTTGTGAAATGTGGAAATCATGTTGGGTCTGCAGTTATTTTGGTAAGTTTTTGCTAGATTGGGCTGACTCGAATGGTTTACCTTGGTATAGCTTGATTTGAATTGGTTGTCTTTAAGCCTTGGTAAACCCTAAATAAGACCTACCCATGATGAGGGACCCTATTTTGGTGGTTAGACAGTTGTTTCCAGGCCAGCTCTAGTGCCCACTAAATAGCACCTAATCTCCTCTATTATTGTTGATAACTATGATGCACCGACACTTCTCCTGAAAGAGGCGTGCAGTGTCCAACACTGTATCCGACATGACACTCGCCCGACACTCCTCCGACAAGTGTCAGACACACCGAAAACGTGTCCAATTAAAAAATATTAAATACAAATTGGACACATGTGTCCGACACGCGTATCTTAAATATTTAATAAAATTTTTTAAATATAATTTATTGTATTTGGCAGGATTTAAACTAAATTTCTTATTTCCTATCCACAACACCAAATCAACGTTCGCACATAATACCCAATCATCGAATATTCTTGTTGCGGATTAGAATATACGCGCCGATAGAATTAAAAAACTTCCGTCTCTGTGTTGTACGAATATCTAGCACACAAATAGAGGAGAAATATCAACACCGGGATTTTTACGTGGAAAACCCTGAAAGGGGAAAAACCACGGGGCCACGCCCAGTTGAAAGATTTCCAAAAGTTTTTACTTGAAATACAAGAAGCTAACTCGTTCGTAAAAGTTAGGACGATCAGATTACCATGAATCACTTCTGGATTGAAATCAAGTTACAATGTCGAGCAGAGTTCCAGCGTCGTTCAGAAGTCGGGCAGAATTCTGGCATCGTTTGGGTGTCGGGCAGAATTTCGGTGTTACTTTGGCGTCGAGCAGAACTCCGGCGTCGGGCAGAACTCTGGCGTCAGGTAGAACTCTGGCGTCACTTCGGCGTCGGGCAGAACTCCGGCGGTGGTCGAGGAGGAGTTATTCCCTCCTATCTTTCTCCTCTTCTTCTTCTCCTCTTCTTCTTGCTTCTAGTTTGGGTCTTCTCTAATGAGAAATGAAGGGTCTATTTATAGATATTCTGGAGTGGCATAGATTGTAAATAGGTGTGAGATCAGGGGTAAATAGAGAGTGGTCTAATGGACGGCCGATATTGAATCCTTTGATCGTGCACCGTTCGTCAGACATTTGAAGGTCTTAATGATGTCGGAATTCAGCGATCTTGGGCTCGTTGGATTCGTCTCGTCGAGCCGCTCGATTCGACTATAAGAACGTAATATTTGGAAACTGTTTGGTAACTCGAATTATGGTTTGAACTTTCCAATAACGCTTCAGGTGCTTGATTTGGACTCATTTGGGCTTGGATTGAGTCGAATTTGTTGTCGTTGAGTTCGTATTTTCGAGACGCTCAGTTTGACTGTAAGTTCGCTAAAATCGAAGTTCAGGTGATCTCGGAATTAATTTTTGAAGTTTCCGGCTCGATTTTGCCTCAAGATTCGTGCCCAATCAAGATAATTTTTTTGAGGATATATCAATTCTCATTTTCATTTCTTTTTTGCAGTGAAGGTATTTTCATCTCCTCTCTCGGTGACTGATAAATGGCATCGACGCCTAGCTCCCAACATCCTAATACTAATCATTTTAAGCACAAATTCTAGTTAAATGACTAATTATTTTTAAATTATTTTTAAAATTATACTTATTTAATTTTTATAAACTATTTTTTAAATATAAAAACTATAATACCGTGTCCAACCCGTGTCCGTGTCCTATATCTTCAATAGCTGACGTTTCCTGTGTCCTTGTCGTATCGTATCCGTGTCGCTGTGTCTGTGTCTGTGCATCATAGGTTGATAATAATTTGAGATATTTTGCTAAATGGAGGAAGTTTCCACATGAGTGTTATTGCTTCAAAAAATGTGGGAGGTATTAGGTTTGTCTTTCTTATGCCTCAAGGATTTTCCCTTGTCCAAGAGATGGTTACATGCCTTTCGTGTGCACGATTGTCATATATCATTGGCACTCGCCTATGATGTTTGAGAGGCTAATATCTCTTTGGGGGCCCAATTATTTTTGTAATTCTAAGATCTAGTAATCAATCATTGTGTCCAAAGTTGACCATTGGTGTCTCTTATGCCTCTCTAGGTGGGGCCATCGCTCAAGTTTCTCTATGATGACTACTAACACTCTTCGTCACCTCTATCAGGTAGCGACTGTGGCAAAATCCTCTCTATTGTTTACTACTTGCTCTATCACTCTACAATGACTTGACCATGAAAGGAGGATTGACTACACCCTTAATTGGGCTAGCTCAATCAATTTGAGATTCATCTAAACGCTTTGTCCATAAAGGCTTGGATCTATCCGTGATGATTTAGGTAAGGCTGAATAGTTTGAAACCTTAGGATGAGATGGAAATTTTTTTTTTTTCTTTCTGACAAGTCTTTCATTTTTTTTTCGATTAAATTCAATCATACTTGTTTAAATAATAATTGAATGATTTTGTGCAATGAAAAGGATTTAATTCAATTTCTTTGATGTTGTTAATATCTTCTTGGTTTTAGCTCCAGCTAAGCTTTGACCTTCAAGACTCCTAAATTTTGGCTTAGGAATCCTCATCAAGGATTTCTAGACTCCTAAATTTAAGCTTTGGAATCCTCATCAATTTGCTCCAATTAAGTTATGGTATTCGAGGAAAGGTTTCCTAAGATATTAAGGGTTGGGGAGCCTAACAAGTTTTTGCTTGATAGGGCTTTATTGTGGCCTAATTACATGTATAGGGAACAAAATGTCTCTGTGATTGACGTCATAGGGTTGTCTCTATTAAGCATAAGACTTATTGGTAACCCTAAACTACACCAAGGGTACGTATTCTAATTTACCTCTAATGTCATGAAGAAAGTTAATTTCACATGATAATAGTTTTGGATCAACATCTTCAACTACAACTTTTTTGATGTATAAAGCATTCATCACTATGCCACAAAGGAACATCTTATGAGCCATTTCATTTATTTTGTTTTTTGCGCTCTTATGGTCTAGAGTTAAAGATTAAAGAGAATCCATTCTTAAATATACTTTCTTGGTCTTGCCATATTAAATTCTATTTGACCTTCTAGCTGATAAACCCACCCAAGGCTGACTGATGTCTTTCTTTAGCTAATTATGAGTCCATATAAGTTGGCAACTCGTGTTTTCATATCCACTATCCAGTCCATGAAATGTGTTTGGACTGCAAGAATTATACGGCTAGTGTATTTTATTTCCTTCACTTCATCTTCTTTCTAAAGAATCCAACCATCAATTGTGAGTATAGTATCAACTGTGGCACAATAATTTACTTTATGTGGTTCACCAACCTAATTACTTTAGTATTTCATGGATTGTTTTTGGCCTTTACATTACAATCATTCTTGTCTTCTTGTACTAAATCAACATTATAATATTGTTCGTTTATGTTTTCTTGTTTCTGTTTGCAGCCACCTATCTCTTTAGAAGGACCGGTTTACAATAGCTTTCAGGTTGATTCATTCAAATTGATGGAACTCCTTGGGCCTGAAAAGGTAGATCCATCTGACGTGAAGCTAATAAAGGAAAATCTTTTTGGCTATTCAACTTTTTGGGTGACGAAGGAGGAGCCATTTGGTGATCTTAATGAAGGAATTCTTTTTCTTGGGAATCTGCGGGGAAATAGGGAACATGTTTTTGCTAAACTTCAACATAAGCTCCATGAAGTCGTAGGAGGCAAATATAATCTATTTATGGTGGAGGAACCCAATTCAGAAGGACCCGACCCAAGGGGCGGACCACGTGTAAGTTTTGGATTGCTGCGAAAAGAAGTTTCTGAACCAGGACCAACGTCTCTATGGCAATATGTTATTGCTCTCCTCCTATTTGTCCTTACAATTGGTTCTTGCGTAGAGCTTGGAATTGCATCTCAGGTATATGTTTTTTTTTTGTAGTATGTTATTCATGTTTGGTATTATGCATGGATTATCTATAATATGTATACATGATAAAATGTACTTGCAGATTAGCAGCCTTCCTCCAGTAGTGGTGAAGTACTTCACAGATCCAGATGCTATAGAACCACCTGATATGCAACTTTTATTCCCCTATGTGGAAACAGCTTTACCTCTGGCATACACTGTCTTAGCTGTTCAGCTAATACATGTAACATTCTTTGCATTAGAGTTTGCTAAGCACTTTGATATCTTTGATTTTTTTTTTTAGCTTGATTTGAGATAATATTCAATCATGATTCACTTTTGATTTTTTATGTAATCCTTTTTATGCAAAATGTAAGTGGAAGCTTCTCAAATTACTTTTATGTTGAAAAAGGGTATGTTACTCCATTATCATTTTGCATTGAGAAAAAGATGAAGAAATCGCTCTTTTTAAAATGAGTAGAAAATCTCATATATATTATGCATACATGCGGATATGTTATAATTTGAGTGATTTAGTACTTGAAGACCCTTGTATGCTACACAAATGTATACTTCTTAGTTCATTGACTCCATTTTCAAAATTCAAAGAATATCTTCTTTAGTCTGTTGATTTTTTTTTTTCGAAAGTTCTATGTTTACGGTTTAATCTTAGCTAAGGTTAGCTACATTTCATCTAATTTGTCCTAATTTGATTACTTTTAAAGTATTATTCCTTTATATGATACCTCACATGACAACCACATCTAGCTTTACACTACAAGGAAGCAAGCAGCAGAGAGGGATTGTGGGTGGTTGAGGATTAAAGGAGAGAGAAAGTATGGCATCCCATGGGGAGAGAATGAGGTGGAGAGCTTAATAAGGATTAAAAGAGAAAGCGAGATAGAAGGGATGGTGGTGGCTATTGATGCCTATTTTCCACACCAACTTTGGTCTGAGGTGGGTGAAGGGAGGGAGCGATATGTAGCCATCCCTTTCCCTAATGATGGGTGGTTAAAGAAGAATGAATAAGAGGTGGTTGTCTCCACCACTCCCCTTTACAGAGTATAAAAGGTATCCATGTGTGTGTGGGAAAGGGGGCGGTTGGGAGTTTGAGAGAAATGGAAAATGGGGGTGGGTGGCTCACCTCCAAATTTTCGGATTGTATGCAATATTAGAGGATGAGATATGAAAGATGAATAAAGTAGTGATGGAACCCTGCGATATACTGTAAAATGTGATGGTGCTAGAACAAGGGTATGTAGACAAGTGTTTTAATCTTTTCACTTTATACTGACAAGAATTGCAATGCTAGGGTTCCATATGGTATAATAACAAACCTCCATGACCTAAAGTGAAAAATGAAACTTATGGACCCATGTCCATGGATGGTAAACTGGGGGACTTTTTAGTACAACAACATCAAGCCTTTATCCCACTACGTGGGGTCGGCTACATGAATCCTTTTTCTCCATTGTGTCCTCTTAAAGGTCAAATTCTCGTTTAAATCTAATAAAGAAAGGTCATTCTTGATATTTTCTAACCAAGTCTTTTTAGGTCTGCCTCTACCTTTCTTAACATAAGTCAAATCTAATACCTCTACTCTCCTAACCAGGTCATTGGAAGGCCGCCGTTTTATGTGACCAAACCATCTAAGGCGACTCTCTCTAATCTTATCTTCTACTGGAGCTACTCCAACCTTTTCATGTATATGCTCATTTCGTATCCTATCTCTAAGGGTAAAGCCACTAATCCACCTGAGCATCCTCATCTCTACCACACTTAACTTAATATTATGCTTCTCTTTTAATGGGCAGAATTCAGCACCATAAAGCATTGCAGGCCTCACTACCATCTTATAGAATTTTCCCTTAAGTTTGTGGGGTAATTTTCTATCACACGACAAGCCCGATGCATTCCTCCACTTCAACCATTCAACTTGAATTATGCTGATAATATCCCCATCTATTTCACCATCACTCTGAACAATAGATCCTAATATTTCTGACAAGTAACTCACCAAAAATAAATATTTGGGCCAAAGTTAAAATTATTCTCGGCGAAGTAGATATTTCTGACAAGTAGGACACATTTTCTAGTCATATTACAAGCTGTCTTTGAATTGTCATGTATGCATTTTTATTCTAAATGCCTTCATTTTATGAGCATGTTAAAAATGGGAATTCAATGATGAAATATATAGGAGAATTATGCTGCATAAATTTAAAACACTTTCAGCAGCTCAAATACTTATTTAAACCATCAAGAATTTGTGAAGGTAAAATTTTAACTTATCCTTGTTAAGTATTAATGAAACTTAGATGAGATGACGTTTGGAATTTAATCAGTGCATACAATATGAAGCTTATGCATTTATTTCTTCTTTTTTTTATGGTTGAATCAGAACTCTGACCTCCCTTTTGGGTTGAAAGGCAAAACCACTTGATCAAGGCATTGGTGACCATGCAATCATTTCTTTTTATTCTTGATTATAGCATACACATTATTGCAGTACTGCATTCTAATCCTGAAATTCTCACAAAATAATTGCCATGAAGTGATTTTCTAGGTATATATTATTTTTCCCTATGAATTCATGATGACTTTTATCATTCCATGGTAATTTTCAATGTTGCTTCTTATTCTCTTACAACTTAGTTATTCTGCTAGGTTGATGCATCATTTCTTCCTACAGGAGATTGGTCATTTTGCGGTAGCATTTTCTAAAAAAGTGAAGTTGGGCATTCCTTTCTTCATTCCAAATATTACACTAGGTAGCTTTGGTGCAATCACCCAGGTAATCATCCGTACTTCCTATGTAAATGAAATGAGGATTGCTGGAAATATCAGCATTAAAAGTGTGAAATACAAATTTGAGTGCTGACTTATGTGAAACTTCGGCTTCGTTTGGACGGCTTTTTTATTGCTTCTTAAAACGGCTTTATTGTACAAAAATTAAAATTTTTATACTAGAAAGCGCTATAAGAAACAGTGAAAAAGCCGCCCCAAATGAAGCCTTCATGTTACATTTGTATGTTAAGTGCAGCTTCCTTGAGCTATTGGATGAATGTGTCATTGCGGATTGCATCTTGTTGACTTTAAAAGCTCTGTTTCATAATCTTGATATAGTTGATGGATGTGCCATTGTGAATTCTATCTAGTTGATTTTGAAAGTTCCATCTCAAAATACATTCTTGCTTAAGCAAGTTATCTGGGCTGTTATTTTGGCACTGTATCCTGGATGGACCGAGAATCCAGGCTTGGTTGTTGAACCAAGTAGGGTTTGTGCCTGATGAAGTGATTCTACCAGGCCCTAGCCATTATTGCTAATTTATATTCTTAATTATCCTCTAAACTATTTTCAAATAGTTCAATGGGGTGGTTTCTCATATAGAGCATGGACTAGAAAATATTATATTAGTGAAACGTATTTACTTTGTGCGTGTAATCAAGTTATATCTACCTTACTGGGTCGGTCTCACTTTATAAAGAGCAGTAATGCAAAGGTTCACCTATTTGATTTACATTTTTTACTTGATGTTTCAACGAACATGTTAATAACTCTACTACAGCATAGTGAAGCAATTCTTGAAGTATAAATTTTTCTTACGAATCAATATTAAATTAACCTTACTTTGGCTTTATATTTGACCAATGGAAAGCATGCATGCGGGAGCCTCATGAGAAAGAATATCTATTGCCCATTATTGCTTTATCTAAGGATGATTTTTTCGCTTGAAGTCTTCTTCTAGTAGGACATGATTGATAGGATTTTTCTACTTTATAAAGTACTTTCATTGAGAATATACCATGTTACTCAGGCCTTCATTGAATTTTGTGTAAGGGTTTTGAGCAGAGAACTAGCCATGCAAGGCTTATTTATTTTTCTGTAATTCCTTATGACTTGATTATTACATGTACATTTCAATATGTTATCATTTGCTACAATTCGAGAAGTGTGTTAAGTATTTTCATATTACTTTCTCAGACTGGAGCTTTATTTCTCATTGTTTATAATTCCTTTCATAGTTTAAATCTATTCTTCCTGATCGGAGGACAAAGGTTGACATTTCCATGGCTGGACCATTAGCTGGTGCTGCACTCTCCTTTTCAATGTTTTGTGTCGGCTTATTGCTTTCATCAAATCCAGCTGCTGCAGGTGATTTGGTTGAAGTTCCTAGCATGCTTTTCCAGGGATCGCTTCTCCTTGGACTAATTAGTCGAGCAACTCTTGGCCACACGTATGATTTTTCTTCTATATTCTTTCCTTTCTTATTTATTTAATTTGTTTTTCCTTTTCTTTTATTGCATATAATAGAGGGGTTCTCCTTATTCTCACATCTGCTATTGTGGCTAGTAGACCCATATTTCTACCAAACCAGCCTCTAGAACTTCCAAACTAACCTAATCAAACTGAACGTTGTATCAATATTGTCTAGCATGGTAATGGTGGCAGGACAGGTTTTCTGTTCTCGTTCCTGCCAAGTGTTGGGAATCAAATCTCATATCAATTAAGCGGTGCTGATTTGGAGAAATTATTCTATGCGGACGCCGAATGCCGTCCGCAGACCAACCAGAATGAGCCATGTCGGTACCTCAGCTCGGTATTGCTGATGTGACTCATTATGGTTGGTCTCCGGATATAAAACTGCGTTCGGCGTCCGCACAGAATAATTTCTTGTTGATTTGCTATCAACGTTTTCCTTTCTCCTTTAAAAGATTAATCATTTAAGGAAATTGCACGGCGGAGTTATTCGAATGACTTGAATTAGTTGTAATTTAAGGGGTGATAAAGTAGAAATAAAAATGTAGGGTGAAAGGACTAGGAAAAAGAGGGCAGTCTTTCACATGATTTTATGTTTTAATTTTTTATTTTCAACTGTTATTAAAGCAAGCAAATAAATGTATATTAATACATAAACAGGCAATATTGTTGATTCTGTTGCATATATGAGCTTGGGTGGAAGTTTCGTGATTGCAAGGTTATCCTTCAAAACCAATTTGGGAGTAATTTTAAGAAACATCCTTCTCCACAACAATTAATCAGCACCCAAAACCTTTGAATCAGGCTCGACCACTCTTCCCCATCTCCAATGCTATCTCAAATCCTACCCACATGAACCCAATAGAGCTTTCGCAACTTTCTTATGCTATATTATGGTTGGATTAAGTTGGTTTAACCCTTTTTATGAGGTGGTTATAGCATGAAAATTAATTTTGAAAAATGTCTAGGAAATTACAGTTATCCCCCCCCCCCCCTCTTTTTAAGATGTAAGCCATAGAATTTTGCCCATTTCACAATGATTGGTTTGAATGGTGCTTGCCTTGAATTTAAATTCAATCCTTATCCTACTCGGTTTAAAATCTAGTTATGTTCAGTCAAAACAAGAGATGCTATCTTCGAACTTGAACCCAGCCTGGAATGGTATTACTAGTTACTTCTCTCCTTTTATGTTATAATTTCACTTCTTGCATACTGTTTTTGCTACAAAGCATATTATAATTTTGTCCATCTTACATTTTATATTTCTTTACTGCATTTCACAAGCTAATGTTCGCTTTATGTTAGTGCTATTTTTTCTCATTTTTTTTATCGGAGAGTGGGTCTCAATGATTAGATTGCCGCATTGCTATTTGAAAGTCAAGGATTTAGATCCTAAAACAGCTTATGTACTATGGAAGTGGGTTAGACTACATATATCAATCCTCATCATGATCTAGAGTGATGGGATTCTTTGACACCCTTTATGCATAATTGCTATCCACACATATATTGCACAGCAAAACTGTCCACAAATCTGCATAAAGAGTGGTTAATCTCTTTTAGGCGCCTTTGCTCTCAGTGCACCCAGTATCAACTTTGTTAAAAGTTGATTTTGTAGCTTATGGACCATAGAACAGATATCTCTAATGATCTTGACACCCCTCATACTTCTGCTTTGAGCTTTGCTAGGCATTTACTATCTGTTATTTGATTAGAAACTCGAGCTTAGGGTTGTGCCCTTGGACATGTGCATGTATGTGCTTAATTTTTGCAAACAAATATGCATATTTATAGTTACATAGCAAACAAAAATATATATCTACGTGAATGATTTGTAATTAAAAAAATTATTTAATAAAATTAATAAATCACTTTCAACTTCATCTGGAATTGAATTTTTCTCAGACTTAGATTTCGTTTGGGATGGTTTTTTTACTGCTTCTTAAAGAAGCTTTTTAGTAAAAAAAAAATTAATTTTTAAACTAGAAAGTTGTTTTAATAAGTAATAAAAAATCCGTCCCAAATGAAACCTTAATTAGAGTTGAATTGAATTGTTCAATTTTGAGTTGACATTGGTTCACTCGAACTCAACCCAATATCACCCGTAGTCAAGTTTTAGATATATTTAAATGTTTATTCTCTGATCCGACATTTAATTACATAGGGAAGGATTTAGCTTCGCTGAGACCACCTGAATCAGATTGCCTTCAAGTAAATTAGCGAACATTGTATGCTACCGTGGTTTCAGCTGTTTCAGAAGATATCAATATTTTCATTTATTTTAACGATTCCAGCATTTGATTTTCTACGAGTTAATATTCCATGCTTGAGAAAAAACCCTTAATTTTCTTCTGCTTGACCGTTTTCATGATCACATTTCGATGAGCAGACAGGTTCTTACTTTATTAATATGTGCAGAGCCATGCATGCTGCCACTGTTTCGATCCACCCTCTTGTAATAGGTGGCTGGTACGTATCATTTCAAAAATTTTGTTGTGCATTTGAATATCTATTTAATTGGTCCATGTGCGTTCATTGCAGGTGTGGCTTAACCACTACTGCCTTCAATATGCTTCCTGTAGGGTGTCTTGATGGTGGAAGGGCAGTACAGGTACCCCTTACCTTTTTTTCACCGACTAAGAGCAGTAGCACTATAATCCTAAACCATAATAGCATATTAGCCGAGTATTTCTTAGATAAAAATCAATTATTTCGTTTCATTACCTTTCTTATTTTTGTCAAATGCATTTAAGGGGAGATTTTATATAGCTTCCGTTAAAAAACTCATTCTCTATTAAGATTGAGATTGCACCGAAATTGTGTTTGTTATCAGGGATAGTGCAATTGTTCGGTTAAGTATGATTATTAGTAAATGCTAGTCAAAGATTGGACATATGTGTTTCAACCAACTTGTTCTTACACTTGCCCACTAATGTAGAGGTCAATTGATATGGTGGTATTTGACATATTGTACATGTGGTCGAATAAAATTATTTAAAAACAACAAAGAGGTGGAAGCATAACTTGGGGACATCTGTTGTGACTTGCAAGCTTTATACCTTTATGAAATTCAAGCGCTAGTGTTTGGTGTGATATTTTTTGGGTGATCTAACATACGAATATAAATACGCACTTAAAAATTAAATATTTATTAAATAAAATAAAAATTATATTACAACCCATAAATAGAATGGAAAATAAATATGCAAATGCAACTAGACATCATAATTAATATATTGCTGCTACAAATGACCAATCAATGTGTTACAAAATGCGATGTTAGCAACTTTATCCCTGATTTTGTTTATAGCGAATGATGAATTCTTGAAATCGGATATTATCATCCATCACCATTTCAACCTCTAGAGGTGTCGCTTCTCTCGCAACTTCAACTAATATAATGAGATCATGTTTATCCTCTATTATCATGTTATGCAAAATTATGCAGGTAATTATTATGTAATGTAGCCCGTATTTTCTCCAAAAATGTACTAGTTCTGCCACAGTTGCAAAATGTGATCAGAGAGCTCCAAAGGCATGTTCTACGTCTTTTTTGTATGCTTCTTGTATAATCGTAAAATATGATTTTTTCAAACCACATGTTTCTTGAATAGTTTCATAATGGTGGATCATTTTGGATATATATTAGCAGTCGAATAATAACCCATATCATATTTTTTCCTTGTATGTATAATGAGCTGGATGAGCAATAGCTTAAGTGAGATTGGAGAATAGGTGGGATGACTCTAACATATTAATATAATTATTAGTACCTGACATATCGAAATAAACATGCAATGTTCAAAAATTATAATCTATTGCAGCTTCAAGAATAATATTAGGTGTTCCATTATAACCCATATATTGCTTGACCCACCCGACATGACAATTTTTTCACTTCAAATGCATACAATTTAAACTATCCAAAATTTCTAGAAAATCATGTTGTCGACCAATGTGAAGAAGCATAGCAACATTATTAATTGTTAGTGATATTAAATATTGCTCTAAAAATATCTTTATGATTGCTTGATAAAATATCTTCACGCTTTTAATTGTCGTTGACTCGCCTATTTTAGCATACTCGTATGTGGCATTTGTTGGTATTTCTATATGTCAACATCTTAAACATGACTATTACTTCTGAATGGGTGACAATTCAAGTATATCAGCACTATTTATTCATTGGTGGAAGAAGCTAGCATGAGCTTTAACTGCATCCACTATGCGAACGAACAACGATCGAGACATTCCATATTTCTGTTGAAATATGATATCATTGTATAATGGGTTGTCTGAAAAGTAATCATTGAACAATCAACAATTTGCACTCTTCTGATCACTATTGATGAAATCATGCCTTGTTACTGAGCCGTCTAAAAACACTTGGTTATTTTGTTGATTGAGAATGTATTGGATCATCTTATTATTATTTGTAATAACACGACATATCATTGATTCCTCTTCTTCAAGACTTTATAATTTGGATATTGTCTTCTTCATATGAGGAGAAAGATAAAAATGATAAATTTTTAAAATTTATATTCATTTTGTGAGATAAAAAAATTATATAAGAAGTATTTATTCACATGTAATATTAATCTAACTGCAAGCTATGGTCATAACAACATTACAATACTTATAATAAAAAATTTATCACGGGTTAAGAAGTGTGAGAATCTTATAGGAGAGAACTTATTGATTTATCAAAACCGTTCCAAATAGATAGAGAAGCATAAGAATTTTATAAGAGAAAGATCATTAATTTGTTAAATTTATTTAGGTCAAGTTGAGGAGCATGCAAATCTTATAAGAGAGATGTCGTTGCTTTGTTAAATCCTTTCAAAATAGGTCCAGAAGCATAATAATCTTATTAATAAACTTGTTATAAATAATGTCATTAATGTGTTATGTTTCTATCCCTGAATCGAGCATCTTTTTATCTTATCAACTACACATCTTTCATCATTAACTCATTGAAAAGAATGTATATCCGATCTTCTGCATATTCTCAATAGTGAGATAAACTCTTATGTCGAATTTATATGAGATTTCTGAAGACTCGATCGCGTGTATATATCAGTCATTTGATCATTTTTTGACATATGTGAATAGAGCCTATAATAATTATAGAGATCAGAATTGGAGATGCATTCGAAGAGATCTGTTTAGTCTCGTATTTGAATTGTTGCAAAAACGGCAAGAAAGATGCATGCTTGTATCTGAAAAATTGATATAGGCATCCCAGTGGTACTTCAAATGAAGATATTATGAGTATTAATATTTTTTCTTAATTTTTTTCTCTATATGACTATTTAATTAATTATAATTATTTATATCAATTTACAAATATATCAAGCCAATGTTTTGTTTATGCAAGGTGAAAAGTTAAAATCAGGTTAAAAGTTTGATCATGCGTGGAATATTAATAAGAATTTTGAAGAATTTTAATATATTAACTCTAGTGCTAGATAGGCATCTCGATGGTGGAGTTTCGAGTATGCATTTTTAGAGTCAGAAATCCACCCTTGAATATGCTAGAAAACCATCTCGTTGATTGTCTGCATTCTCTAAATTTAGATGACGATGAATACAATGTTGATGTCTCTCCATCTGAACGACCAATTGAGGTGAGGAAAGTCAAATTTAAAAAAAAAAATTGATAATCAAATATCAGTCTTCTTCAACACTTTGAAAGATAGAAATAAACAACTAATTGAGTAATTAAAAAAGACAAGTGTGCAGAGATAATATCACTAGGAGCTCCAAAGTAAGAATTATGTCTTAAAAGAACTCAAGTAAGAAAACAAAGTCTTGTTGCAAAACTTGAGTTCTATACAATATCCAACGCTCGCGTAAGGCACAAATTTTATAAAAGATGTTTGAATAATAACAAAATCAACAACTACCTCCTACATCTAACTCATTTAGACAATATTTCAATGATCTTAGAGGATCTGAGATCGATTTTCCAAATTATTAGATTATTAATATTAGTTATTTTTAGTTTCATTTATCATTATATATTTTTGTTGACATTGCTTGTTATATATTTTTATTTTCATTTATCATTTTGTTATTATATTGTTTAAATATTATGTATTTTTTATTATTCGATATCCTTTAAATTTATATTTAGATTTTACCTTAAGTTATATATTAATGTTATATTTTAAATATACTTTTGTATTTTAAATTATTTAAAATAAAAAACCTATTTTAATTTAATCACATAAAAATTAGAAAATTAATAACATAAGTTAAATTAATATATTTAGGCTCAAAATGTTAAAATTTAATAATTTTAGGATAATTTATAATTTAAAAACATATATATAAATTGGGTTTTTGAATAGTGTGACCCTAATATTGGCATCGCACTGTTGACAGCCGAGATAAAACACAAAATATGTTTGCATTTGTTTTTCGGTGGATGCTTGTAGGAGCTGCAAACGGACAAATTATGTTCGGTTGGAGTTGCCGTAACGGTTGTTTGCCCAAATATATAAATTAAAATAAAATTCATATACTTAATGATAAATGAAACTAAAAATAATAATACTGATAATCTAATAATTTGAAAGATCAATCTCGGATTCTCTACGATCATTAAAATATTGTTCACATGAGTTAGATGCAGGAAGTGGTTGTTAATCTTATTTATGTTCAAACCTCTTTTGTAAAATTCATGATTGCTTAGCTTGGACAAATACACGAATGTTGAGATCCTGTGTAGAACTCAAGTCCTGCAATAAGACTTTATTTTTTTCCTTGAATTCTTTCAATGCATAATTCTTATTTAAGAGTTCAAAGTTGTATTCTCTGTGCACTTTTTTTTCAATAAGTTATTTATTTTCATCTTCCAGAGTATTGATGAAGGCTGACATTGGTCATCAATTTTTCTTTTTAATTTGGTTTTTCATCTCAATAAATCATTCAGATAGAGAGCCACCAACATTATATCTATCATCATTTAAATTTGGAGAGAATGCAGACAATATTGAAGATGGTTATCTAACAGATTGAAGGGTGAGATTTTTTGACTATGATGATGCATACCTGAAACTTGACATTCGAGATGATTATCTAACATTATTCGAGGCGCTATCTTAAAATTTTTTAAAAATTTTTAATAATATTTCACACATGGTCAAACTTTTAACCTGATTTGAGTTTTTCATCTTCCCAAGTAACATTTTGATTTGATCTAGTTGCAAATCAAGATAAATAATTATAATCGATTAAATTATTGATGGAGATAACAATTTTAAATAAAAGATTAATAGTCACAATATCTTCATTTGATGCACAACTGGAATGTCTATTTTCAATTTGTCAGATGCATGCATCCATCTTCATTTTTATTTTCTCAATAGTATGAATACAAGATTGAACAAATATATTTGAACGCATATCCCAACTTTGATTTCTAGAATTATTGTTGACTTCTTTCACCCGTGTCTAAAAATGATCAGATGATTAATATATACCCGTGATCGGGTTTTGAGAAATCTTCATATAAATTTGGCATAAGAGCTTATTTTTCTCTTGAGAATATGCAAAATATCATATAAACATTCTTTTCAATGAGTTAATAATGATAAATGTATA